TCGATGAAAAGTTTGTTAGCTGTTAGCAACAGTGCTGTTAACTCAGTCCTCACGTTGTAGCTGGCTGCAAACTATGAACTGGATTTCCTGAATGTGAGGCGGGTCTTATTACTCTGGGTTCATTAGACGCCGCCGTTCAGGAAATCCATTCCATAGTTTGAAGACAACATGCAGCGCCAACCACAGACATGCATGGATCAGAAATATAAGCAGGTGGATTGGAAAATCCGATACGTAAATTTTGCTGGTATCGGAGGCCGATACAGATACTGGATCGGATCGCCCCCATCCCTAGTTTTAACCTCTGGGTGCTTCACACAGGGTGTCCAGTCTCTGCCAGGACTGCCTGTCTTAAGGGGCGGCTGTGGCTGAGTGGTTAGAGCAGTCGTCCTCCAATGCAAGAGTTGGGGGTTCGAATCCACCAGCAGTCACATGCCCAAGTGACTGTTCAGTGTCTTGTCCCTGGGCAAGACACTGAACCCCTCATCGCCTCCGATGTGTGTCCCATCAGTGTATGAATGTGATAAATCACTGATTAGTCTCTTTAGAATGATTTGTTCAATTAGCTTTGTATAGATCTAGTAGAGTGCTGTATGAATGGGTAAATGAGGCACAGCTTGTGTTGTAAAGCGCTTTGAGTATCTCGATAAGATAGAAAGGCGCTATATAAGTACAGTCCATTTACCATTTACCATTTAAGGGCAAGCAGAGAGTCGAGGACAAGCAGAACTTGGACAGACAGGTCCCAGATTGAAACAAAAAATTAATGGGAAAAACGTTTTGATTTGTTTGAATTGCAATCCATGTTCTCAACAGAGAGCTCGTCACAAGAGGGTGTTTCCTTTTGTTTGTTTTCTAGACAAGAGGAGCCATTAAACAGCTTTTCTCTGTCACTGTGGTTTATTTTGAAAGGGTTAAAAAGTAAAAACTACGGCCACATGTGAGTTCAGCATCATTGCCAGAATCCATGCATTGCTGTCCAGCTGATCCACTGACTGGTGGAAATGAAAGAATATTAAAATCCCAGCAAGCAGAATTAGCAGCAGGATTATTTTCTGTGCCCAAAGCCTCGGCTTCATTGGAGATGATTTCAGCTGAGTAAACTTTAATTCACTCCAAGCTTTTGATCATGTCGACACGACCGCTGTGTGTCAGGAAAGACACGATGCAGCGGCTCTGTCGTGAAGCAGCAGTGGTGAATCTGTGCTTTCTTCTTTTAAACAGCTCGGCGTTGAGCTGGCACGTGTCATGTATTAATTCCTGCTGCACGAGCAAACGACTAAATGTGCATGCGTTGTGAGAAGCATGACGAAGTTGGTCTCATGTTTGTAGCGGTGGCTGGGAGGTGGTTGAGGAGTGAAGCAAGAGATTATGCAGGAAGCGCAGGAGCAGTCTGTCTTCAACTAGGTGTAAATTGCTCACGCCTGCTGAAATTATGGCAGCGTATCGTTGGTTTGTAAATCCTGAGGAGAAACAGGCAGCGTGAGTAAATGATGCACGGAAATTGGAATAACAACCAGATTCTGTGCATTTTTTTTTATGAATTTGAGCTTGAACCACTATTTGCTGCTGGAGCGGCTGTGGCTGAGTGGTTAGAGCAGTTGTCCTCCAATGGGTGTGGTGGGGGTTCGATTCCACCAGCAGTCACATGCTGAAGTGTCCCTGGGCAAGACACTGAACCCCTCATTGGCTCTGATGTGTGTCCCATCAGTGTATGAACGTGATAACGCTCTGATTATTCTTTGTATATAGCAGAGTGCTGTATGAACGGGTACATGAGGCACAGATTGTAAAGAGCTTGGAGTGTCTTGATAAGATAGAAAGGTGCTATATAAGTGCACTCCATGGACCATTTATCACTGCAACCTGACTTATGTCAGCGTGTGAAAAGATGCATTCGTGTGTTTTAGAATCAATTTGAGTGTGCACAGCAGAGCTAAAAGGATTAGTCTGAACGCCACAAGAAGTTCAAGTGAATAAAATATGTTGTTCTGTCGTTCGGGTGAACTGAGAGTTCAGCAGCGTACAGATGGAGCACAGACAGGAAGCCAGGAGTGAGAAACTGTCGGACAGAAATGAAGCCAAGCTAGACACGCACCCACACAAACACTGAACGCACATTTCATGCAGACATGGGAGACCGATGAGGCTAAACTGCATGAAATATGGGACTCGGATGAAAATCCTTTCATCTTACAGAAATAAACTAATGTCCTGCGCCCCTGCAGCTCAGCTGGTGCAACAGTGTTCATTAAATCTTTGAGTTTTATGTTAGAAATACATTTGTTGTGATTTTGATGATTTCAAGTGGAAACAAGAGCCTTTAAATTTGTGTTTGCTTTTATTGTGTGTTGGTGGGTTTTACCTTTCAAACAACCTTAAGGAGTTAATTTTTTAGCATTAAATTATGAATAATTTCACTTGGCAATCACTCAGATGTATTTATCTGGCATCCAAAAACATTTACAGAATTTAGAGAATTTTGTTCTGCGCATGCTGGTCACGCTGCACGAGTGCACCTCTGATAAATACAGACGTGACTTTTATTGCTGGAAACTGGACTCTGACAGGAAAAAGTGCTGAAAAAGATGTAAGAACAAACAAGTGTGAAGTGGTATCTCACTGGGCTGTGACTGCTGGTGACCAGTTGGTGAACGACCTCCTCCATGGAGTAGTGTCGTAGTACTCGAGACCGGTCTCAAGACTAAGACCACTTTTTGATGGTCTCGGTCTTGTCTTGGTCTCAGCCATTGAGGACTTGGGATTTTATTTCAAGTCCAGTCCACAACTGTGGAAACAGCACTAAATTACCAGAATATTGTCCAGTTTATTTGTTAACATCTTTGTTTTTATTGGATACAAAACGTACTGGTTCAAATCCAAGCAATAATGTGACTCACTGATAAATACATGTTTTTGTTACCGCTGTCACACCAACACCCTTTCACTCATATGTAGTTCTGTACCAAAAGAAAAATAAATTAATGTATTTATCAAATGTTTATAATTAAACTGATGACCTCATTATAAAGTTTGTATATATTTTTATAAAGACAGTCTTTTATAAAGTGTTACCGGTGCTGAAAGAAAAAAAACTAAATTCATTAAAACCATTTAATACAAGCTGCCTCTTTAAATGGACTGTACTTATTTAAAGCCTTTCTATCTGATCAAGACACTCAAAGCTCTTTACTCTACAATCTGTGCCTCATTTACCCATTCATACAGCTCTATACTAGATCTCTACAAAGCTAATTGAACAAATCATTCTAAAGAGACTAATCAGTGATTTAGATCACATTCATACACTGATGGGACACACATCAGAGGCAGTGAGGGGTTCAGCGTCTTGCCCAGGGACACTTCGACATGTGACTGTTGATGGATTCGAACCCCCAACTCTTGCATTGGAGGACAACTGCTCTAACCACTCAGCCACAGCCTCCCCTATCTTTAGTGAGCGTCCATCCATCATTTATCTTTACCCAGTTCTTCCTTTTTGGGTCGTGGGGGTCGCTGGTGTCCATGTCCAGCCATCACTGTGTGAGAGGCGGAGGACACCTGGACAATATTAGGCCTTTTAAACTTTGATTAAATACCTCAGATAATATTTTATCACTCACACACACACACACACACAGGTGCAGAAAGAGCTCCAGAGAGAAAAGGTCTGAGCTTTAAAATGGACCAGTAAGAAAGTGGTTCCTCCCCAGTTCTGTTTGTGGTTGAGATGCTCAAAAATTTTCAACATAAAGAAGCACTTTATGTCATCTGTGTGTTCTTTATCTTTAGTACGTGCAAACCATCCGTGCACATTTATTTCTTGTATATTTGCTACAATAAGCTACAATATATGTTTTTTTTTATTATCTGAAAAAATAAACAATAATAAATAATGAATAAAAGTTCAGCATCTTTTGACTTCATGCATTTCCTGTGAATCCTTTAAATGAAATATGAGTTTCCAGAAAGTTGCTATGGCCTGACGTGGAAAAATACTGTGAGAATAATAAAAAAACTACAAAAAGAAAGACTTTCATCTTTACTGATTTAGTTTGAATCTGATCAGAGGAAACCTCATGCTGCCACTTATCATCATGTCATGGACTGTTCCTGAAGATTTTAAATGAATGATAAAAATGAGGCTATTTGTTTTATATGGCGGATGAATCCTTTATTTCTCACTCAAGGAAGTTCTTCCAGTGGACAGAAGAGTTGTGGTGATAAGAACGCCGGGAGATGAAGATATTTACGGAGGATTTTTATAAACAGCTTCAAATCAAGCGCACTGCGTCTTTCATTTCTGTCCCCTTCTTTTCTTCTCTCTCGCCTCCACAAACCGCCTCCACAGTCAAATTGATTTAGGCCTCCTGCCTCCTGAGGGGCTACGAGTGGGCGTGTGTGCATCTAGTTTGTGTACGTCTCCTCTCTGAAAACCCTGACTCTGGGGAAAGCGCTTGGTCCTCCATTTGCAATTCAGCTCACAGAAAACCAGTGCAGAGCTGGGACGTGTGCGACACTAAATAAATGAATAAATAAACGAATAAATAAATGGCAAATAAATAAATACATGAATGAGTGAGTAAATAAATGAATAAATAAATGAATGAATGAGTGAATGAATGAATGACTACATGAATAAATGATTAAATAAATGAATACATGAATAAATGAATAAATAAAAGAGTGAATGAATGAATACATGAACAAATGATTAAATAAATGAATAAATGAATAAATAAATGGCAAATAAATAAATAAATACATGAATGAATGAGTAAATAAATGACTAAATAAATAAATGAATGAATGAATACATGAATAAATGATTAAATAAATAAATAAATAAGTGAAACCAAAAATTTCACTGCACTAATGAGAGGAGACAAACTCTCTGGGTTGAGTGCTGCAGAGGCAGCAGCAATGACACATTGAGAGGATGATGAAGATGATGGGGGGGGGGGGGCAGACATTATGAGATGCTTTTGTGAGGGGTTTACCTGGCATCTGCTTCACTGTAGTACTCCCTAGCCACAATGTCCTCAAACAGCTCCCCTCCTGTCACCCTGAGAAACATCAAGATGGGATTTAGATTTACATTTTACTCAGGCTGCAAACACACACACACACACACACAGATAGGAGGGGGATGTCCTCATCGGGGGAAACCCCGGCTGCAGGATTCTCTCCGACTGGGTTGTCATGGAAACTGGCTCCAGTGAGTGGGAGTTGTGGCTGTGTGTGTGTGTGTGTGTGTGTGCATGCACTAAAGTGGGAGCTGCATGGAGGGAGGGCAGGGTGGGTGTGTGCTGTTATGTAACGGGGAGAACTGCTTTGGAAGCAAGGAGGGGAAAAAAGTGAGGAGATGCGGCTGAAAAGTGAAGATCAGGATGCAGCGAGGTCCGAACAAATGGGGGGGGGGGGGGGGGTAATCAGACAATGAGGAGGATCAGCAGGAGAACATGAGGGGAACCAAGAGGAGTTCTAGAAGGAGAACAGGGGAGAGGAAGAGTGGAAGGAACTTACAGGTCAAAGATGAGGTAGTGGAAGCCTTCCTCAGAAATGCTGTCATGGAGACGGACTGGGAAAGACACAGCAGGAGAATTAGATGTTTGATTCTGGTTCTTCTTTTTCTTTCAGACAACAGCTGGAATCAGACTGTTCATGTAAACACAACCTGACGCTGACAAACGTTCCTGAGGTCAACACACGTCATGTGTTCAGGCTCAGAGCTGCTGCAGCTCGTCACAGAACGACACCCACAGCACCCAAATCTGTCAGCACTGTGAAATACATGCTCGAGGACACTGCAGCCTAATGTGTGTGTGTGTGGGGGGGGGGGGGGGACACCACAGAATTTCTGTCAGACTTGATCAGATTTGATCCACATGGAGTTCCTGTCTTGAGTTTAAACCAGGATAGACTCCAGTTGCTGCTAAAAAAAAGTCCTCATTTCCCAATTAACTCCAGAACAACACCTCTGACTAATAAGGGCGATCAATAAGCAAGAGACAGCATGAAGACCAAGGAACTGTTCACACACATCAAAGACAAAATTGTGGAGAAGTAAAGATCAGGGTTGGTTTACAAACAAAATATGCAGCTGAACATCCCACAAAGCACCATTAAATCCTTGATTAGGAAATGGGACGATGATGTCACCGCAGAAAACCTACGAGACGATTGTCCAGTCATGAAACATCTGGAACATGGAGGACATTAGAGAAATAGGACGGCCCTGATGGAGCTGAGCATCTCTCCTGAAGAGATGGGATGATTATTAGAGCTGCACGGAGCTGAGCTTCATGTCAGGGTGACAGAAAATAAAAACATTTAAAAAGCCGGACTGTTAGGGATTTCTTTCTCAAACGTAAAAGATGCAATGGTCAGGTGAAAGCAAACTTACAATTTAGACCAAAATGGGACAAGGCCACAGCTGGAAAAGTTACCACCTCTTATCATGCTGAGTGCCATCCCCACAGTGAAGCATGGTGGTGGCACCATCATGCTGCGAGGCGTCTTCAACAGCAGGGACTAAAGAAAGTGGTCAGAGTTGAAGGAAAGCTGGATGGAGCTACAGATGAATTGTTTAGAAGAACTTTGAGGGCGGGGCAGAGGTTTGTCTTCCAGCAGGGCACTAAACACTCCGCTAAAGCAACACTCCAGTAGATTAGGGAGAAACAAAAGGTCATTAAGAAAGACCTGAAGAGACTGAATGTCAGCCATAACTGTAGAGGCAACCTGAGGAGGAAACTGACCTGATGCACCTGAACGCAGCAGAGACTTTCAATGAGCTGCAGACAACCTGCATCCTCTGACCTTCGACCCCACTGACTGATTGTAGACAACTCTTTAAAGTGGGCAGATATTTATGGGATTATGGTGAAATATGTCAATAAGAAAATCATTTTATGATATCAAGAAGTTAATAACAGTATTATTGTTTTGCTTCTTTTCGTTTATCTCAACTATTGACCAACTAAAAATACACATTCAAGTTGATTTATTCAAAGTTTGAACATTTGTAAAAAGCCTCACCGATGTTGGGATGTTTTAATAATCTGCAGATTCTGGCTTCTCTCTCCAGCTTCTGATGGTCTACGAGACAAATGTAACAAAAAGGTTTAGTTCAGTTTTTTACACAAGTACAAGGCTAATAAAATAAATAAAAGCAACTACTTCAGAAAGTTACAGTTACCCAATAGAAACTTATGCAATAAAATAAACACGTGGATAATAAGGACAGTAAAAAAATTAGCTTTTGTACAAACGTACAATTTATCTTCTTGGCTTATTGCTGATAGTCTGATGTGTAGAGGATTACTAATAACTCCATCTCTTTATACACCCCCACCCTGTGCATTTGGAACTAATAAACACATTTAAGTCATGGAATAATATTGTGTAAAGACATTTTTTAAAGCACAAGAATGAACAAAAAAATTGTTATTTAGGTTTCATGAGTTCTGTGATATTCAGAGTTTTACTAAAACTTTGACCCACTGAGAAACTTGATGAAGTCACGACCACTCAACAGATAAAGAAACCCCCCCCCCCCCCCCCGCCAGTTAATCCATCCATCCATCCATTACCTGCGTCTTCCCCCCAGTAAAAGAAAAGAAACAGAAAGCAACAATAAATCAAAATGAAACCAAGAATAAATTGAAGGGAAGAGTTCGAGCAATTAGTTGACTTCATTGTGCAACTTCTGAATAAATTGCCCATTTGTTTCAAAAGTTTTCATCTTCCCAATGTATTCAGTTGATTTTGATTTAACTGAACTGAACTGGACTGTGCAGAGAAATGTTTACATATATATACATATACATGCATATACAGTATATATATATATATATATATATTCCTGGTTCAACTGGTTTAACCACTTGGGACTGCCCCCGACAACCCCCTGCTATCTCTGTACAAGAGGATGAAGTAAGGAGGCTTTTTAAAAGGCTGAATACACATAAGGCTGCAGGCCCAGACCTTGTGTCACCCTCCACACTGAGACATTGTGCTGGAGAGTTGGCTCCGGTCTTCACAGGGATCTTCAACTCTTCTCTGGAGTCATGCCACATCCCAACCTGTTTCAAGTCCTCCATCATCGTCCCTGTCCCCAAGAAGCCATGTGTCACAGGACCAAATGACTACAGACCTGTAGCTCTCACGTCTGTAGTCATGAAAACCTTTGAACGCTTGGTTTCATCTCACCCCAAGTCCATCACCAACCCCCTCCTGGACCCCCTGCAGTTTGCCTACAGGGCCAACAGGTCTGTAGATGACGCAATAAACCTGGCTCTCCACTTCATCCTGCAGCCCCTGGACTCCCCAGGAACCTACGCCAGGATCCTGTTTGTGGACTTCAGCTCCGCATTTAACACCATCCTCCCTGCTCTGCTCCAAGACAAGCTCTCCTTGCTCCATGTACCTGACTCCACCTGCAGGTGGATCACAGACTTCCTGACAGACCGGAGTCAGTGCGTGCGGCTGGGGAGAGCTGTCTCGGACACTCGGACTGTAAGCACAGGATCTCCACAGGGCTGTGTGCTTTCCCCCCTGCTTTTCTCCCTGTACACCAACTGCTGCACCTCCAGCCATGACTCTGTGAAACTTATTAAGTTTGCAGATGACACCACCCTCATCGGGCTCATCTCGGACGGTGATGAGTCTGCATACAGGAGGGAGGTGGACCGGCTGGTGACCTGTGTAGTGAACTAGGCCTCAGGTCAAATCTGGCCTTGAGGGGCCTTCCTGGAACAAGAACTGTATTTCATTGATTTGAATCCAGAAATACAGGTTGACCCATCCTGAGACTTTCTTTCTTGAATTAATCAAGTGAAAGAACACTCTCTTTTCTATTATCATTACTATTTTACAAATGTTTGATAATCAAATTGTGTTAGTTCAAACCATTTTTAGATGTTGCAGTGAACTAATCATTTTTAATTAACTGTGAAACAGTAATAATGATTTTTAATCCTCATGCAAAGTAGAAATCATGTTAAGGTCTGTTACAGAGTAATTATGCATTTTCTGATTTTCTGTCTTTGAATGAGCAGTGTAAGTGGTCCAAGGTTGGAGTCAAACGCAAACAAGTTGTTGGAACGAACTGTCATGTTTTTAAATCCTCTCAGACGTAAATAGAGAAGCTGGCACCTGTTTTCACCCAACTCGTCCAAACATTTCTCTCTCTGTCTCTAAAAACATTTTCAATCTGTTCCAAAACACTTTCTGTTTTTCTGACTCCTAGTGACCTCTTACGTCACAGAAACACACCCCTGTCTGGTCGATATTGACCAATCAGGAACCTCCCAAATGAACCGGAAATAGAGCTCTTTAAATGTCGGTACTTCCTAGTTCAAACAAGTCGGGTGGAGAGTTTGCAGCTCCAGTCGTTTGGGAGAACAGAAGTCCAGCCATGATCCGCAGCTCTTCGAGTCTTGTGGGAATTATGCAATCTTCCACATCTGAGTGGAACTTCTGACGGACTCCACTCATGTGAAGTCCACTCGTGAGGTGAACTGTTGTTGATGAAGTCCCGCCACCACTCCGGACGGTTCTCTGCCATCCTACAGAGACGCTGGACCGGTAGCTTAACTGGAGCTCCGTTTCCACTGATTCATCGTCAGAGAGGTAACGAGTCGAGTTTACTACCGAGCGTACTGAGGAAAGCTGGGTTCGAATGGAGGGTGCCGTTCTGTTCAACACTTTTCACTCACACACACCATCTCCCTCCCTCTAAACTTCATCTTTCCATCTTTAAAATTCTTCTATCCTGCTAGAAATCATTCCAGATATTTCCAGAAATGTCTGTGGTGAAGCTTGAGGTTTTCAACCATCGCCGTATGGTTAATCAAATTGTACAGCTTGCAAAATTAGCCATGTTGTTGTTGAAATCATTTTGCCAAATTAATGTAAATGTGTGATGTTAAACTTTGATTCTGTAAATAAATGACGCATTCATTTGATGGGTCAAAGAAAATTAACGTCTCACGATACATTTTATTAAATTCAATGCACGACATTATACAGTCCAGAAAAATGAAAGAATCCGTTTAATTTATGAATATATCACAGAATATGTTCATCTACACCTGGTGCAGCAGCAACAACCTGGAACTCAATGCCCAGAAGACAGTGGAGATGATTGTGGATTTCAGGAAAGCCACAGCCCCTCTGCCCCCCCTCACCTGTAACGATACCCCCATCACCACTGCGAACTCTTATTGGTTCCTCAGCACCACCATCACCCAGGACCTCAAGTGGGAGCCGACCATCAGCTCCCTCATCAAGAAGGCCCAGCAGAGACTGTACTTCCTGCGACAGCTGAAGAAGGCCAAGCTGATGGTGCAGTTCTACACGGCCATCATCGAGTCCATCCTCAGCTCCTCCATCACGGTGTGGTACGCCGGGGCCACTGCCAGGGACAGACTCAGACTGCAGCGCGTTGTGCGCTCAGCTGAGAAGGTGATCGGCTGCAGCCTTCCATCCCTCCACGACCTGTACGTCTCCAGGACTGTGAGGC